CCCTCTCTCTCTCTCTCTCTTCTTTTTTTTCGTTATCATCAAATTAGACGTTAGACGTCTGTTGTTCCGCGAACAACATTCGTGTCTCGACAGTGACGATCAACGTCACCATGACGCGACCAAGACTCGTTTCGCCTAAAGCTTTACCGCCCGCTCGAGAATCGTACTTACGAGAGGTGGTTGATCATCGTGGGGTAGCTTGCCGTCCAGGCAAAAGTAACACTTGTCTAGCGGCTTCCAGTCCTCGGGCGGTGGGCTGGTGCGTCGGCTCCCGACGAGGAACGGCGCTGCTACCACGACGTTCCTACCGGCTTCAACCTCCCGACACGGCAACCCTGACCTGATCCCGTCCGGGTGATCCAAACCGGGTGTCGTCGTCAATATCGTTGGACCGCCTCCAGAACTCGGCGCCTCCTGCAACTCCTCCTCCTTCTTCACTCTCAACAACCCTTGCGTCACCGGTGTCCGATCCAACGCGACTTCTTCCTGCGTTCGTTCCTGCAATCATCAACCATCGTTTTTTTTTTCCTTCTCTCCTCCTCCTCCTCCTCCTCCTCCTCCTCCTCTTCTTCCCTCTTGAAACTCGAAGAAGGAAGAAGAAAGAGGAGGAGGAGGAGGAGGAGGAGAGAAAGAAGGAAAGAAAGGATGCAAACCTTGGTCCCTTCCGTATCGGTGGCGTTGGAAGTCGGATACTCCCGAGATCCCCGATCCTTTTCCCTTCTGAGAGGGGTGACGGGCCTGTCGGCGTCCTCGTCGAGTTTCAACCGTTTCTCCGCCTCGCCCTGCCCCCTTCCATCCTCCTCCTCCTCGTTCTCCTCCTCCTCCTCCCTGTCCTCGGCCCCCTCCCCCTCGTTCTGGCGGCGTTTCCGCAACCGCCTGGTCGGGATCGTGGTGGTCCCCGTGGTCATCGTGTTGGACGTCGCGACGACGCTCGACGGGACCACGGTGCTCGTACCCGTTGTCGCCGCGGTGGACAGAGGCACCGTCGTCGCGGTGGCACCGGTCGCGGTGGTAACCGTGGCCGCCGTCGAGGTCTCGCCGGCCCTCGACTCCTCCCTGCCGTTCGCGAACTCGTCCTCGCCGACCTCGACTTTGATCTCGTCCGGCCTCAGACGCCGAGTCTCCTCCTGCTGCCTTTGTTGCCGTTGTTGTTGCTGATAGGGACGGTGGTGGTCTTGGAGATGATGATGATGATGATGATGATGATTCTGCAGGTGATGCCTGTGCAGCGTCGCCTCCTGCTTGATCGGGCCCGCGGTCGTGGCCGTGGCTGTGGCCGGTGTCGCCGCCGTCGTCGTCGTCGTCGTCGTCGTGGTCGTCGTTGCCGTTATCGTTACAGGTAATGAGGAGGACGCGGGATGAAGCGGGCGCGACCCAATTTGTTCCAGGTTCCCGGGCACCGGGTCGCAGGACGACGAGAACGCCGGGTATAGCCGGTGGTGGGGCTGTGCCGTCGCTGATTCGCTGCTGCGAGTACCGCTGTACAGGGTGTCCTGATATTGCTTCCATCTCCTACGGCCCATCAACTCCTCCGCGACCCGTTCCAGACCTGCGACACCACCGCAACTGCATCAAACAATGACGAGCGCCACTATTTCGCGTATATAAAGGCAAACACCGTTCCGGACGATATGTCGCTGCGACGTATCTTTCGCTTCATCTTTCCTTCTCCCTCCTCTCCCCCCCCACCCTCCTCTCTCTCTCTCTCTTCTACTCCCTTATCGGGCACGGTGTCGATCGACGAATCGTCGATCCGAAGAGTTTCGACGATGAACGATCGCGAAAGGAAACGATCGGTGCCCAGGCTTGGAAAAAGCGCGAGTTTCATCGCGTGAGCGCGAAGATCCGCGATAAGATCCGAGTGTACGACCACCGCCGATGTCGGAATCATCGCCAAAATCGCATGCTCGAGAAAACCGACCGGACGTGGTGGTTCTTTTTCTTTCTTTTTTCGAAGGACACGGCGGTAACACGCACGTCCCAGTATCCGAGCGAACGTGTCGCAAGAGAAGCGTGCGCGGGGAGAATTGCGACACAATTTGTTCAAAAGTGCAAAACTAGCTAGTTTCCTAATATCTTCTTCTTTTTTCTCCCCTCCATTCTCTTTTCTCATAAATCCATCGGATGACTCGTTATCGGATTTCGTATTCGAAAACTTCCACCTGCCGTTATTTGGAAATCTTATTCCGCGCATTAAAAATAATGTATGTATATATATATATACATATATATATATTATATTTTTTTTTTTCGTTGTTACTTCTCGAATCGAATCGTGAGCGCGCGTGTCGTAATCGGGAACGCTCCTCGCGCAACGGTCAACGATAGACGCTGATGATAACGGAATTTTTTTTCCCTCTTCCTTATCCAAAGGCCGAATAGTCGGGGCGTTATCGTAACGGGCGAATGACGTGCCTCACTCCCGCCAATGCGAACGGGCAAAAAAAGGTTGCCTCGCAAGAATCGTACGCCAGATATCATCGAGTTGCAGTTATCCGCAATTTTTAATGCATCGCTTGTGACCAATATTAATTCTCAATATAAATACGAATATATATATATATATATATCGAGTTCCAATGTAAATTCAGCCCAACGTTATTTTTCACTCGAGATCGATATCGCGCTCAAAAAATTCCCGACAATTCCATAATATTCGAACGGGTAAACGGTGGAGCGTTAATAAAAAAAAAAAAAAAAAAAACGGGAACGACGGAAAGCGATGGAGGAGGAGGATTTCTCGTCCGATGATACCTCGCGCTCGATGATCCTCGCTCGAACGAGACAAGCGTCAATTGGTTCTAAACGGACACCCGGTACGATGGCACGCGTCCCGCAAATGCACCGCATAACTGTCACGTCATTTGGTCGTCGCGTGTGCCGCACACGCCGACGTACACGGCACGAGTACACAGAGTTTTTCCACCGGCGCGAACGAAGACGAATTCGGCCTCTCGCCGAATACGAGGGCTCCCTCCTCCCCTCGATGGATTATTATTTTTGCCCGATTTCAACCAATTCTCGCAGCGAGAACCGCGTAAACTCGCGCGACACTCCTCGAATTCCCGCCTTTCGGTCCCGCCTCTGCCTCTCCGTCCTTCCGCTTCCGATGTCTCACTTTTCTCCTCCTCCTCCGCCCCCCCCATCCCCCCTCCCCCGGATACCAATGACTCAATTGGAACAGCGCAGCGTTTCTGTGACGCGGCGCGGAAAAATACAAATGTCTGAATCGGAAGAGGAGGGGAGAAAGACGAATTTTGATCGGATAGTTTTTCAGACGATGAAGAGAAAAGAAAGGAAAGGGGGGAGGGGGGAAAAAAAATAATCGGGGATGTACACACGCACGCACACACACACGCACACACACACACACACACGCGTTCGGCGGACTTATTGATCGGCAAGGTTGCATTAAATGCCCGCTAGGCTGTAAAAGGAACGCGCGCAATGAAAAACATCTGAATAAATTATTATTGTTTGTCGAACGTTTCGAACGAATAGCGACGCCCCCATCGTGGTAGCCCATCGTCGTTTCTACCGGCCATTATTTAAACGCTCTAGTTCCGCGCAGCTTATCAAATACAGGTATAATGCCAGTTTGCGGAAACGCGAACTGGATCTGCGCCGAGCGTCGCCGCCGCGGCGTTATATCTCGCGTGCACGCGCGCCTCGCTGTCAGAAAAACGTATGACAAGCATTTACGGTCAGGGCTGAGTTTGTACAGCCGTGTACTTTTAAATGGGCCGCAGACGAAATGCCGTATATAATTCGTACGGATAAGTCTATCTCGTTATCTCTCTCGTCTTAGCGTAATATCGTAATTTCTCTTCTTCTCTTCTTTAATCTCGATTTATTCCGGAAAATCGTTTCAACCGTTGCAAAACCGAGCGATCCGCAATAATAATTTTCTTCCTCGAATCGAGGGATTGTAACAGTTGTAAGAAATAAAACGCTACGCCATTTTTCCCGAATCGACTAATCGTTTCTCGATTTAGCGTTTTTCTCATTCGACGAAGCATTTTCGATCGCGCACGAATCACCGCTCGAGCGAGCGTGATCGCCCCCACGGATTATTTAGAAAATCGATCAAACTTGTTGGTGATCGACGACGCATCGCAACAATTATAAACGAATCATCATCTCGAGTGAACGTGAGGGGCCCAAGGTCGCGTCAACAGCAGTGAGTCATGAAAAATCTGTCCGGAATAAGGCGATCGTCGCACAACGAAAAAAAAAAAAAAATTTTTTCTTCTTCTTCTTCCACGTTAAATTTAGCCTCGTTTCACGATGACGTCAAACACACGACTCTCTACTACTCGTCTACTCATCTGTCGCAGAAGAACAAAGGGAGCTCGCGTTGCGCTCTAACGTTGCGAGGCGAATAACGTTCAAAACGTGGAAAACGTCTTCAACGCGGATGAGAAAATTTCTTCTTCTTCTTCTCCTCTCCGAACAGATTGCGCAGAATTTTTGATTCCGGATCATTTATACACGTGGTAAACATCGATTACTGCCAACGTACTTTGGCAAAAAGCCAAGTAACGTTGATTAGAAACGGCCGTGATTATTTCTCCATTACGAAAGGTTGATTCGAAGAAAAAGAGGAGGGAGAAAACAATCGTCTCGGAACTAATTATACGGCATGCAAGTCGATGTACTTTCGATGGGGAACCGAGCCGGTTAAGATTCCCCCTTTTTCCTTCTCAAAGGTCTGATTAACCTCGTCGTCCGAGTATACACGTCCCGGTGCCCGCGCCTACTCGCGTTGCAGCATCGCCGACCTTGCATGTAATCAATGGGTGTACGGGAGGAGAATAATCTGTTAGGAAAGCAGTAATCGCGCTTTTTCCTCTCGCCAAGTTTCTTCGTTCGAGTGGGCGGCGAAACACGGGATCCGGATTTTCAAATGAATGAACGTATCCGAATGGGCACGATCCTAAACACGACGGAACGCAACGGTACACACAAGATAGACTTGTGAAGATACAGCCGTGTACGCAATCCAATTTCCAAATGACGTAAATCGAGAGAGTCGTGAAAGAATGAATTTATTTATCTTCTCTCCTCGGCTGCGATTTCGTCCGAAACGAATTTTTCCAGAAATCTTGTAAACGAGAAAGATATTGCGCGCTTGTTGCAATGATATTTGGAAGAAAAAAAAAAAAAAGAAAGAAAGAAAAAATTATGGGCTTGGAACGAACCATTGGGAACGAAAGATGTTGCGTCAAAACTTGCGCTCGCGAGATTCTAACAAAAGCAAAAAGGTATAAAGTGAATATAAAGTAAATAAAATGAGGCGAAGAGCGATGATTCGATCGTAAGTGGGGGAAAAAATTGGGAGGTTTCGAATTGTGTCGCGTTGCGTCACGAGTTTATGATCTCTACGACTATATTTTTCTTATGGCCATTTATCGGTCGATCGAAGGTCGATAGTTGTGCACGAACGTTGGTCGTTCACAGCGAGCGAAGTTCGAGTCCTTGATCGATTCTGAAAGTAATTAGACGGGTGGCGCGCCTTTGGATGAAATTCCAGGCAGGAGGTGCCGAACCAATCTTATCTCGCGTGCCATTTAAGAAGAGGAAGAAGTAGGGCAGATGACCACGCCCGGGATTAAGCCAATGATGACGTAGACTTGGCACCAGGAACCTCTCCAGTGTATAAAACGATTATCCCTTCCCACTCTTCTGGCATTTCGTTCGTTCGTTCGTGCGATTAAACGTCGGCCTGCGCATCGAAGAATTTCAAAAACTCCGTGTTATACCGAATGGGGGGAGGGGAGGGGATCTCTCGAGCGTCGTAAATTACTCGAAAAATCTCAACGATCCGTAAAAGCGCAGTAAATGGAAAATAAATGGAGTTTTTCCTCCAGAAAGAATACTTTTATACTTGCGGAATCGAAGAGAACGGCGTCGAAGAGAACGTGCTCGTGAAAGAATGCTCGTGTAACCACACACGCGGGATGATAATAATAATAATAATAATAAATGGAATCCATTTCTTTCTTTCTTTCTTTCTTTCTTTCTTTCTTTCTTTCTTTCTTTCTTTCTTCTTTTTTTCCGAGAAGAATTTTCGACAATCCCTCCGATCGAACAGTTCTCAGTTTTGATAAATGGTGAATCAAAATGAGGAAGATTCGAGAACGAAGAGAGAGAGAGAGAGAGAGAGAATCTACTTTCCACGGGCGTCCTCCGTGAACGGCGAGGATATAGCGGCACCATTCTTCAATTCTAAATCGAATGGCCTCGGGCCCCATCCGACCAATGGCGGCGCCGCAATTTTAGATCCAAGCGCGCGCGCTATATTTCCCCCAACAGTTGCCGCTGTCTTGGTGCTATTCCCTTGGTCCCGTCACTAATCGTCGGTCCGTTTCGACCAATGGCAATCCGGTTTAGACGAGAGTAGAAGGTTAGGAAATGGGTGGCCGGGTATGGTGGGGCTGCAGCTGGCTCTCACGACGCACAAGGCTATCCTTTGTCCGAAACTCGCTTGCGATTCGCCGCCGCCGCCGCCGCCGCTGAACCTTCAGGACGATAATAACGAAATAATTGCGATAACGACCCCGGTGCCAGA